CCCAATTTTTTATTAATTAAAATTTGCCCCCGACCCTATTCCGATCGATTGACTAAGGCACTTGAGAACACCCTAAATTTCGCAATGATTACATATTGATTAAACTTTTTTTTTATTATTAAATAATTCTTTTCGCTGTTTAATACTAACGTTTGCTCTTTTGAGTTTTTTTTTTTTTTAAATAGTCCTTTTCGCTGTTTAATACTAACATTTATTTTTTTAGTAAATAATTTCGTGTATACGATTAAATAAATTTTCGCTGTAAAAATTTATCATATTATGTAAAAAAAATTTTAATTAAAATGCTTTAATCATACTGCTATACGAAAATCCGAAAACAAAATAAGTATGAAAATTTACTAATTATTTAGCAACTTAGTAGTAACTTTATTTTCAGAATTACTAATTAGCACCTATTACAGTATTGTATCACGGTTACTGTACGATTTCCGAAAGCTATTTCCCGAAAGAGCATTATACTGACTAATTATTTTTTTTCGGGAAAATGGCTTTTGAGTACTTGAGTATTAGTATTAGAACAAATCTATTAATTAGCACTTTGTCGTAGCATTTTATTTATCTACAATATTATATCAATATCAATAAAAATGCACTTGAAATATTCAAATGTTCGTGTCAATTAATTATTTTTTAAAGTAAAAATCGCGGCCAAGAATATGGTTAAGAAATTTTGGATGTAATTTAAAATTATAAGCTTGTAAATGTAGGTCTCGGCAAATTTTGAACAAAAACTTTATGAAAATTACTTATGTTTTAAATTCGATTTTTTTTTTTACTAGCAGAAAGAATTCTGGAAGTTCATAATAAAATACTTTCGCTTAAAAAAATATTTTGATATATATTTTTTTGAAGAAAAACGATGTTTTTTGATTTTGTGACGTTGCTAAGGTGGCATGTAAAACCCTAGCCATGGCGAAAACGAGGTGTCGGGCCATGTGATTTCCGAACCATCCAGTCTAATATCTAAAAATCAAACAACACATAAATAAAGGGAACAAAGGTATATTTAGGGTTAGGAAAGGCGTATTATATAGTAAAATTTTGTAAGGAATTTTTTAATTTGATCTTAGGTGATTTCATAAGCAAAATTTCGAGTTATTTGCAATTTTTGAAAAAATTTTGTTGTTTTCGTAAATTTCACGTTACATCAGATCCTAGATTTTTGATTGGTTGGTGATCATTCGGTGCGTCGGAAATCACATGACCCGACACTTCGTTTTCGCCATGGCTAGGGTTGTCCAGGATTTCATGCATCCAATCTCAACTGTCGGAAGAAACTAGGGCTCCCTGAGTGGGTCAATGTGGTCCAACAAAACACATGACGAATAAATTTGAAGCATCACAGCAGTTTTAAACAATAATTAAAAAAGATTTTTTTGAGTTATATGATATATAGGCATTAAGCCAGCGTGATGCAAATTCATGCACGATGGCAGGGTATACGAAAATGAATAACTCGACAAAAGGCGATTTTTTTATTTTACTTTATTTATGTTGAACGTTGCAATGTATGAATCTTGATTCAAAAAAAAAAAAAAAAAAAAAGACTTACTACGTATAATATTTCTTACAAGCTTACATATTGGATTAGGACAATGAAAAGGTTTGATGATGATAGGATTGATAAAAAAGACAACCAATTCTTAGAAACTTATAATTATCTCGCCGAAACACTTGGATCACATGTACACATAAACACGTGAAAAATCATAACCAGATTACAAAACTTAAACAAACTTAAAGAGTTAAACCAAGTTGAGATGTTGATCTAGTATAACAACAAATCGATACGTAAGTATCGAAACAGCTTGCCTCGAATCATCACAGTCACATTGTTCGATAGAATGATATATCATTTGTCGACCAAGAATATTGCGTAGAATGTTCCAAAATTGAGACTATTTGCGATTCTCATTTTTAATATTACTCTTGAAATTTGCGAATACATAAAATTATATGATATATATTTGGATAATGCTTAGATTTGACATTGTTACTTTATTTAAAAATGAAAAAAAATAGATAAAGGGTATTCGAAGAAATAAAAAATCCAGAAGAAATTTTTAATCTGTTATATATCGCTTTGGAATTTATCATTTTTGAATCAGCACGATCGGTATTATACAGTATAATAATACAAATAAATAAAAAAATAATGATAAATATTTATTCAAGTATTGTACATTTGACCTCGGAAATTTAAATGGTAAAATCTTACAAAATTTGATGTATAGTTATTAAAAGCGTTGATAATATTAGGTAGTATATTTGTGGTTATCGAATAGCTCTTAATTTTGAAGCTTGTTCTGTTGCAACTTTAATTTCTTGCTTTTTACTTGTTCAGTCATTTGTTTTTAAATCGTCGGATTATTTAGTAGTGTACAGTGATCGTTGCTGTGCCGTGCATTTTTCAGGAAGATAAAGTGCCAAGTAGAATAATATTGAAACATATTCATATCCTGACATGCTTGACAAGTAGGACAATTTGTTTGCTTATCATGATTATGAATTTTGAGATTTAATCTTTAGTTCTCAATATTTTCAACATAAAGGTATAAAGAAATAGTCATAGCCACCCAGCGTCCCGTGACCTCACGGGTTTAAAAAAAAAAAAAAAAAATAGTCATAGCGTAATTTGGCTGCCCCGTGATTTTACCAATCCGATTGTAAGATTAATGCGTAACATACAAATTTGAAGCAAATAAAATAAAGACGAAGAAATCGCAAAAACTCATAAATTTGCTATGGAATCTAGCTTTCTGTTATTAAGTAAATTTTTTTCGGTACAAAAGTTTAAATCTATTATTTTTATTTTTATTAATGCAAATGTTAATATTCGAAAGAAATTAAGATAGTATCGTTGTCGGATTAATCACGGGATCGCCAATTTTTTGCAACTTGACTAATCACTCAAATAGCCTCAAACTTTGGATTTCATGTGTACTTGTAGAGTTTCGAAAATGCTAAACAATGAATATATTATGAAAGTTATGACTTTTATTTTCGATTACTCATATTAATGAAGATTAAAAAACTAGCAAATTATTTGAAGTCATAACGAAAGAAAGAGATGACAAAAGTAAAATTTAATTTTATGTTTCTCTATGCAATCAATAAAGTTTATGAAATCGATCAAATCAGTACGTACAGTACATCGCATTTCCAATCGATATAAATTTTAAATTCAACATAAATCATAAACTGACGTACGTATAACAAATCTACCTAAACCAGTTAATTTAAAATTTTTCAAAAAAAAAGAGAAAGATGATTATTAAATAGTTATTAAATAATTAATAACACTATTATTTTTTTAATTACCTTATTAACGCTGGTAAAAAAATTTAGGATCACTTGAAAAATCGAGCTTCACTAGTTATAAAAACAAACCATGATGTCCCAACTGGTTCAAACTGACAGTCAGGAACTAGGGCTTGATAAGAAGATGGTATGAAGAAAGCCTTCGGGTGTTGAGGTCTGACAGCTTCACGCGCATTAAAAAGTTCCTCCAAATTTCCAAAATGAAAAACACAATGAATTTTTATCTCTGCGTCGATTTGGGGAAGATTTGCAGTTGCGAAAGAATTCATATCAATTATTATGCATTTTGGCCATATTGATTAATACATTGGCCTCTTGAAAGGGCTGCCTGTGTCACGGCTTGGGGAGAGACTTGTGTACGTCGTTATCAATTTAGCTTTGAGCCGTGAACATTAGGGTATTAAAAGAATGTGATTTTTATATTGAGAGAGCGAATATTATATGTTTATTATGTACAAGAGCTTTGTGTGTTCAAAAACTTATATGAAAAGCTATATATTAACAAAGATTAAAAGATTAACTCTTCCCTTTAAGTATAGCGATCCTTTTATATACAACTATCTAGAATAACCTGATTACAAGAATGAGGTAAGGACTACGATTATTCACAAATAATGTAGTAATTGATACTAAACGTTCATTGAATGTAATCATAGAGAATATAAAATGAAATAATTGTAAGATAATCGGAGTCGGGTAACCGTACGATCATCGAATGTAATCATCGGTTCACGGCAAATTTTGATCGAAGACAAAATTTCCCGTGACACCTGTATTGTCATATGTTCCCTGCTAAATTTGGCGCCATAAACTCCTAAATTAGTAATTTCATTAAATTTATACTTATCTTCCTCCTTGCATATACCAGGTTCTCTTGTTAGAACTGGGATCACCCATGTGATCGTCATTTGCTAATGCATCACTCTTTGTCTTTTCGATCTGTTGGACCCACCTAGTATCGCCACCAAAATCAGTTACGTAAACGGAGCTTAAATTTATTGCCGATATTAAAATTAATGGTTTATAGAATAATGACGGCATTTGATTAATAACATATGTAAGAATAATAATAAAAAATTTTACAATAAAAATTTTTAATTCTTTGAATATCGTAATACATATTTTCTAAAATAAACACTCAACTTTGTTCATTAATAATAAATCATGTTTTTAATTAAAGTGTACAACCTGTGTAAATGAAAGCAAAAAACAGGAACGTGAAGATCAAATTTTGAATGATATTCGCATGCAAAAAGAAAATGTTATAAAATCTGAAGTGTTTGAATATATAGTTTATAAAAAACTTATAGATGTTGAAAGAGAAAGCAATATGTATATGGATCTTGAGATATTTCAGTAATAACATAGATGACACTTTTGCAAGTTCATTGTCATTATTATGGTTTAAAATTTCTAAATCTAATATTATATTAATTTAGGTACAATGCAATTCTCAATATCCTCTCAGCACGGAAACTAAAGAAACTTTATGGGAAAATATTCAAGTATCAATCTTAATCAATTACACAAGTCAATTTAACGATCGATCTGGTAAATTCAGAAGATAGTGAATACGAATCTGAAATTTTAAGAAAATTCTTCATGAGGTCTAAAAAATTTTTTTCATTATATTTCCATGTTTGAATAAATTTATTTATTAATATTATGTTTTATGCGCTTAAAAACTCTAATAATCTTCACAAACAAAAAAAATGGCTTCGAAGTATTAAATCGACATTAAAGATTTTGAATGAGCAAAAAAGCTTCCGAAAACTTGAAGTGGTTGTACAGTAACAAAATAGAATAAAAAATAACTTTATACATGTATTAATTAAAACTTGAATTTGGATGTAAATGCATTCTATACATTTGAATTGAGTGTAATTATTTAGAGCTTGTAACGATAATTAAATAAATTCTAATACGTTGAATAAATATAAAAAACTTCGATTATTTCTTACAAATCTTGATTTTGTTATTCTTGTGCACAGATTGAAATTTAAAAGCGATTACGTAACTGATTTTGGTGGCGATAGATCTGTTGAAAGTATTACTGTCGGGAATTGATTGGTTGCACGTGTTACTAGTGCTGGAGCATTAGTGGCCGGGCCAGATCGAATATGTAGTTAGTGTAACGATATGTAGTAATATGTACAATGTATAGTCAATTATGTAATCATGCATAGTAAAGCAAATAAATGAGGTTCGATCTTAGAGATCGAACCCACCTTTGATTTTCTAGTAAACAAAAACCCGTAACAAAGTATTAACCTAATTGATAAGGGACATGGTCGAAGTGACTAATAAGGTGTAGACAGGTGTAAGAAAGTAGAAAACGAAGTAATCAATAAGCGAGTGTAATATAATAATAATACAAACCTCTGGGTTACGGCAACGAACATTCATTAACCCTGTGTCAATTACACTCTTCCTTTTTAGGATCAGAATGCAGCCACAACGAGTACAAAGAATTTTTTTCAAGTTGGCCGTTTTACCTTTCGTTGTCTCAATAATTTGGAAAACCTCTCCTATTTTGATTTCAGTTGTAGGGTAATACGCAATTAATGTCGAAATTTTCAATCAAATGTTTAATCATAATTCTCATTAATCAGGTTTTATATTGTTAACAAAATGATTTGTAATATTTGTCGCATACAAGAACCATAAGAACTGGAATTAGAAAAGGGTTAGTAGAAAGATAAATATTAAGAACTTTTTCTTAGTCTTTGCTGCAACAGTATTAAAATAAAATTCGATTCTTTTTAAGCCCTCAAAACCATTTTTCTAAAAGAGAAATTAATAATTGTTTTCGGATGTCAAAATGGGCAGCAGTATAGTCTCGAAGACCAATTCAATTGTACTTGAACCACCTGGAAGACTTAAATCAATCATAGAGATCGGACCCATGAATGCATGGGCATTGAGTCAACGTGGTCCAACGAAACACATGACGAATAAATTTGAAGCATCACAACAGTTTTTAAACAATAATTTTTTAAAAAAATTTTTTTTGAGTTAATATATAGGCATTAAGCCAGCGTGATGCAAAATCATGCACGATGGCAGGGTATACGAAAATGAACGACTCGACAAAAGGGGTTTTTTTTATTAGAGCAACTTTTGCTTTATTTATGTTGAACGTTGCAATGTATGAATCTTGATTCAAAAAAAAAAGACTTACTACTTATAGTATTTTTCACAAGCTTACATATTGGATTAGGACAATGAAAAGGTTGGATGATGATAGGGTTAATATTTAAAAATAAACAATTCTTAGAAACTTATATATAGTCCAATAATCTCGCCGAAACTTGTACACATAAATACGCGAAAAATCATAACCAGGTTATAAAGCTTAAACAAGCTCAAAAAGTTAAACCAAGTGGGATGTTGATCTAGTATAACAACAAATCGAATTATTTTACATAAAACCGCTTGATACGTAAGTATCGAAACAGTTTGCCTTGAATCATCACAGCCACATTGTTCGATAGAGGGATCTATTATTTGTCGACCAAAAATATTGAGTAGAATGTTCGAAAAACCCAGATGTGTTTTTATAGAAGATGCCCAAAATTGAGACTATTTGCGATTCCCATTTAATCTTACTCTTGAAATTTGCGAATATATAAAATTCTATAATATATATTTGGACCATGGTTAGATTTGACAGTGTTACTTTATTTAAAAATGAAAAAAATAGATAAAGGGTATTCGAAGAAATTTGTTAATCTGTTATATATCGCTTTGGAATTTATGTTAATTCTGAATTGAAAAGTCATTTTTGAATCATAATTTGACATATGTAATAGCACGATCAGTATAATTGAAAAGTCATTTTTGAATCATAATTTGACATATGTAATAGCACGATCAGTATTTTACAGTATAATAATACCGATAATTATACACTTCTTATGTGAGTACCTAGCTATTTTCATCACTTTCATGCATGTTATTGGGTCAATTCTAATACATGATACACCAACTTTGTATCGGAGGTAAATAAAATTTGTGTATCATGTTTAGAAATGACCCAATAAGATGCAGAAAATGGTACGTCAGAAATGTACAATAATCAGTCACGTCATAAGCATAGTGTACCAGGTTGGTGCGCCATGGTGGCTTGATACTTCAGAGATTCAATTTTTATGATCATTACATTTTATGTTGATATGTATACATATTATAATTATGCAATTTACAGTGCTTTTCAAATTACTGTGATCAGCCATCGATCATCCATCACACGGAAATCTGTAAAATTCCCTTAAATTCTTTGTTTTTTAAAAAATTCCCACTTAAAAAATC